GGGGAGGGGATGCGGGCGTGTGTGTGTGTGCGTGTGTGTGTGTGCGTGTGTGTGTGAGTGTGTGTGTGTGCGAGTGTTTGTGTGCGCGTGTGTGTGTGTGTGTGGGCACGGGCGTGTGTGTGTGTGTATGTGTGTGTGTGCACGCGTGTTTGTGCGCGGACGCGTGTGTGTGCGCGTGTGTGCTTGTGCTTGTGCGCGTGTGTGTGTATGTGCGTGTGTGTGTGTGTGTGTCGGCGGGCGGGCTGGGAGGACCTGCCCCACCAATCAATCAATCACTCAATCACTCAATCAATCAATCAACCAATCAATTAATCAATCAACCATTCAATCAATCAATCAATCGATTTTTTAAAAAAAAAAATTCCCACACACCAAAAACGAGCCCCCCGAAAAAAAAAAAAAAAATTACCTTTTTTTTTCAAGGGGGTAGGGTGAGGGTTCCGGAACCCCAATCCGCAACCCCGACCCCCAACCCCCTCTCCCCTCGGCCGCTGTGGGCCGCGGCATTCCGCGGTGACCGCGGCCGCTGGGGATTCATAGGGAGGAGAGGAGGGGGGCGAGAGGATGAGAGCAAGAGAGGGGCGCCCACATGAGAGAGAGAGAGAGAGAGAGAGAGAGAGAGAGAGAGAGAGAGAGAGAGAGAGAGGCAAGGACATCACTGACCTGAACAGCGCTTTGAATGTATCTGGACTGTGCTCCAGCACAATCCGGATACATCCTGAATATGGCCCAGATAAAATCCAGGCGGCCGCAACCTTGTCTGTTGGGGAAGCAGTGGGACCGGTCCAGCCACTATTTTCCTAAATAGGGCATCTGCAAGGAATATGAGAGTGAGTGATATACATAAAACCAAGTTGCGAAATCACACAGCTGAGCAAGTAGTAGTACCCCAGGTAGAGAGTACAAATGCACGGAGAAAACCATCCATAACGAGCAATACAATGAAGTATTGAGCCAATGCCCAAGCCCGTAGGCCACACCAATACAGTATCCAGAGTCGCTCTGTCTGTCTGGCGCACAGCACCCAGCCTACTCTACCACACTATCCTACTCTACAGCTGGTTCACACAACAGCATGACTTCGGCTCACGAAGACCAATGTACATGACTGTCAACACCATCGGTGACCTCTCTTCATGTACCAGGTACGTATCTCGTCACCCTCAATCAGACCTTGATTATCCCACACAGCCCCTCACTCCCTGAAGACCACCCGATCATCCGCTGTACCCCCCCCGGCGCCCAGCAGCCCGGCTATGGCTGCCTGCGCCCAGCTGCCCTGCAGCGCCCCACCTCACCTCTCGCGCCCCGTCAGCGCCCTTGGCAGCAGCGCAGCATCAAGTGAGAGCGCAGCATCAAGTGAGGGCGCAACATCAAGTGAGAGCGCAGCAGCACTTCCGCCATTCCCAGCGCCGGCCAGAATGCCTGGCCTGGGCTGCCGGGATGGAAACGAGAATCCTACCCGCTACTCAATGAAAACGGGTATGGAAAGAGCTAGGACTATGGATATGAGGCTGGGCGAATAAATTTATGGAGTTAGTTTTTTCTGAGGTAAGTTAGTAGAATTAGTGTTATAAGGAGAAAGGACTGCGTGGCGGTTATGGCGGAGCATCGGATGAAGAAGCAGGAAGAGCATAGCTTGCTCGTTTCTGAACGAAAACGAGCGAGGGAAGAACCAATTTGGTGGTTTGTTACTATGGCGGTCTCGAACCCGCGGTTACTTTAGGAAGAAAATTAGTGTACAAGGAGATTAGTGGGGGTAGTGCAGCCCGAAGGGAGAGTATGTGGCCAGTTGCAAGGAATGAATCTAGTCGCGTTTGCAGACAGATTCATTCGAATTTCTTCCTCCCTATCTCCTCGAACTAAGTAGTGTGCGGCCAGTTGCAAACCGGGAGACTTACCTGTTGGCCGGTGCGGAGCCATGTCGCCAGCGAAGGGTTACACACACAGAGAGAGAGAGAGAGAGAGAGAGAGAGAGAGAGAGAGAGAGAGAGAGAGAGAAAGAGAGAGAGAGAGAGGGAGCAGACCAAAAGAGTGGGCGGGCTTGCGCACAGTAGCGAGGAGCAGGTGGGGCCACTCGCTGCAGAGTCGAGCAAGTAGATGCGGAAAAAGGGGAACAATATGGTGAGGAAATGCTTACCTTAGTCTGGGGCCTTACCTGTTAGCACGTGCGTTGGCTATACCGTCGGTGACAGTGGAGTATAGCCCGTCGTGAGGTTGCCATCTTAGGGTCGTCGGTCGGGGCTCAGCTCACTCTGACGGACTAGATTTAGCTGCAGGTGGGCAAAAAAAAAGGAATTATCTGTTAAAAGGGGTGTTAATCGGCCTTTCTCATGGAGTAATTGGAGACAAGCCGCGAGCTTGAAAAACTTTCCTGATGCCCAGCATGCTACGCATCTGTCGACCGAAGGAGCAGGTCGTCAAGACTGCAATCCTAGTGGATGGCCAACACGCCAACCAACCTATGTGGTGAAGGGGCAGCCATGGAGTTGCAGGCCTACCTATTTGATTGGTATGCCACACTTATGTAGCTAGCCAGGCGGTAATGTCTCCCTACAAAAAGGGGGAAGGCTGTGTTTTGTACCCACGCCTCGTACTTTGAGTTGTGGCCGAAGCGGTTCGGACTTTGGACCCTGCGAAATAGCGGGGCTTGTTGAGAAGGGTCTATTGCTGCAAACTGAAGGGTCACTGGGAGGTCAGCAGCCAACGATTTGATTTCAGTTGGCCGAGCTACTGCACACTTGGCCACCATTGCGGGGCCTTCAGGCGCTGGAAGATAACAAGGCCGTCTCCTGCGAGTCTGAGAGCACCATACTAGGATCTGAGAGTCTCAAACCCTTCTCTATCTACCTTTCTAAGTCTCAGTCTAGTCCTTGGTTACAAGAGAAAGGCGGCAGGCGGGATTGCAA